TTTTCAACGGTCTCCCTGATGATGATTAATAAAGCTGTTTTTACACCTTATATATGCAACAATAATTTTACCTATCATCAAAATAATCTGAGGGTTGAAATGTAAATACCATTTTACGTCTTTCATAGTCACGATGAAGAATGTGAACTAAATAAAGGAAACGAATATAGGAATGTTCTTAACATACATTTAACTTATGTAATAGACTAAAGTGAGACTGAGTATGCATCTGTCTTTGTATATAGGAATATCATATCTGTGTTTTTGTAATTAAAATACTATTTGTTTTCACAACATAATTAACTAGTTTTACTGTTTAAACTATTCCAAAATGACAACAGATGTGTATCAGAGCATCAGAGGAGATGTTCTTTTTACGAGTCTGTACTAGTTAAATTTCTTTACTCATCAAAACTGATAAGAAAAGTCTGTTCAGAAATTAAATTTACAACAATGCATCAGACAATACTTAAGTTATTTTTTCATTTTGATTTAATGTATCTATTCTTAGGCATAATGTCAAGAGATATCAGCCAAATTGCCAAAATCATATACCCATCTGTTACAAAAATCCTTATAGTCGACATAGTAAAAGACGGTATAGTTTACTTTATTGCAGCTAGTACCAGCTACACTTGCAGTGTATCCAGTGTTTATAAATGGAGAATCGTTTTATGGATACAAGGTGTTATATATTTCATTTATTGTACACAAACACACCTGGAATCATAAAACACAGGCTACTGTTTACTCAGAGGCACATCTAGAATGTTTGTATCTAATGATGTATAGGTAGGAAACACAGCCAGCAGCATATGCTGCAGTTAGCAGAGCCATGTCTACCGAGCTATGAACAGTCTTGGTATGCAAAACTTTTCCCCCCATTTTCATATTCGTATGGGAGTTCCTGCATGCCTGTGATAATTAAGCATTTGTTTCACACAGTATCTATTGAATCTGTTTTAATGCTACTTCTCAATGTTGCACTGTTTCACGGTCATGTAGCATGTAAGTGGTTCCGGTGTGCTGGCTTAACTCCGACCGTTACAATCAGATATAGTTCTATACCTGGATCTGAAACACGGAAGACTTCCTTCTACCGTCATACAACAAAAAAAAAACAATTCTTTTAACAGAAAAAATACTTTATAAAAGTTATGGTATATTAATACGTTTTTCATAAGCAGATTCTGGTTCCTATTCAGTAATACTTATAAACCCCTACATTGTTAATGTTTTTGTTCAGTAATATTTAGAATCCCCTACCTTGATATTGTTTCTGTTCAGTAATATGTAGAATCACCTACATTGATATTGTTTCTGTTCAGTAATATGTAAAATCCCCAACATTGATATTGTTTCCCTTCAGTAATATGTAGAAACCCCTCCATTGTTATTGTTTCTGTCAGTAATATGTAGAATCACCTACATTGATATTGTTTCTGTTCAGTAATATGTAGAATCCCCTACATTGTTAATGTTTCTGTTCAGTAATATGTAGAATCCCCAACATTGATATTATTTCTGTTCAGTAATATGTAGAATCACCTACATTGATATTGTTTCTGTTCAGTAATATGTAGAATCACCAACATTGATATTGTTTCTGTTCAGTAATATGTAGAATCACCAACATTGATATTATTTCTGTTCAGTAATATGTAGAATCCCCAACATTGATATTGTTTCTGTTCAGTAATATGTAGAATCCCCAACATTGTTAATTTTTCTGTTCAGTAATATGTATAATCACCTATATTGATATTGTTTCTGTTCAGTAATATGTAGAATCACCTATATTGATATTGTTTCTGTTCAGTAATATGTAGAATCCCCAACATTGTTAATTTTTCTGTTCAGTAATATGTAGAATCACCTACATTGATATTGTTTCTGTTCAGTAATATGTAGAATCACCCACATTGATATTGTTTCTGTTCAGTAATATGTAGAATCCCCAACATTGATATTGTTTCTGTTCAGTGATATGTAGAATCACCTACATTGATATTGTTTCTGTTCAGTAACATGTAGAATCACCAACATTGATATTGTTTCTGTTCAGTAATATGTAGAATCACCAACATTGATATTGTTTCTGTTCAGTAATATGTAGAATCACCAACATGATAATGTTTCTGTTCAGTAATATGTAGAATCACCAACATTGATATTGTTTCCCTTCAGTAATATGTAGAATCACCAACATTGATATTGTTTCTGTTCAGTAATATGTAGAATCACGTATATTGATATTGTTTCTGTTCGGTTATATGTAGAATCACCAACATTGATATTGTTTCTGTTCAGTAATATGTAGAATCACCAACATTGATATTGTTTCTGTTCAGTAATATGTAAAATCACCAACATTGATATTGTTTCTGTTCAGTAATATGTAGAATCACCAACATTGATATTGTTTCCCTTCAGTAATATGTAGAATCACCAACATTGATATTGTTTCTGTTCAGTAATATGTAGAATCACCAACATTGATATTGTTTCTTCAGTTATGTAAAATCAGATATTGTTTCTGTTCAGTAATATGTAGAATCACCAACATTGATATTGTTTCCCTTCAGTAATATGTAAAATCACCAACATTGATATTGTTTCTGTTCAGTAATATGTAGAATCACCAACATTGATATTGTTTCCCTTCAGTAATATGTAGAATCACCAACATTGATATTGTTTCTGTTCAGTAATATGTAGAATCACCTACATTGATATTGTTTCTGTTCAGTTATATGTAAAATCCCCAACATTGATATTGTTTCCCTTCAGTAATATGTAGAAACCCCTCCATTGTTATTGTTTCTGTCAGTAATATGTAGAATCACCTACATTGATATTGTTTCTGTTCAGTAATATGTAGAATCCCCTACATTGTTAATGTTTCTGTTCAGTAATATGTAGAATCACCTACATTGATATTGTTTCTGTTCAGTAATATGTAGAATCACCAACATTGATATTGTTTCTGTTCAGTAATATGTAGAATCACCAACATTGATATTATTTCTGTTCAGTAATATGTAGAATCACCTATATTGATATTGTTTCTGTTCAGTAATATGTAGAATCACCTATATTGATATTGTTTCTGTTCAGTAATATGTAGAATCCCCAACATTGTTAATTTTTCTGTTCAGTAATATGTAGAATCACCTACATTGATATTGTTTCTGTTCAGTAATATGTAGAATCATCTACATTGATATTGTTTCTGTTCAGTAATATGTAGAATCACCAACATTGATATTGTTTCTGTTCAGTAATATGTAGAATCCCCTACATTGATAATGTTTCTGTTCAGTAACATGTAGAATCACCAACATTGATATTGTTTCTGTTCAGTAATATGTAGAATCACCAACATTGTTAATGTTTCTGTTCAGTAATATGTAGAATCAACTACATCGTAATGTTTCTGTTCAGTAATACGTAGAATCATCTACATTGATATTGTTTCTGTAAGAACAAAATGTTGGATGTTTTCTTTTGGAGATAAACATATCATTCTTATCGTTTTGAACGTTAAATTTTGATTAAAATAATTGATGATGAAGAGATGAAGAAATTTGAAATCCATCATGTCAAACATTTACTGGGTTACTAACTTGTGTATGGAGTGTTCTCTTGGGAACAGCGTAACGACTAAAACTCTTGAAAATTAATTATGTTTTTAAAATATTCAGTAAATAGGTTTATTGAAAAATAAATGACAGGGAAGAGGAGAAATTTTGATTTCAATTAACAACTGCACGTGATGCAGATTTTTTTTCAGATGAAGCTATTTGAGGTTTTTGAATTGAATCTTTCCTATGTACACAAAAACAGGAGCAACACAGCTTAACATATTTCAATTATCAAATTCTGTTATAAATTGATAACAGAAAACATATCATTCGGTCGAGTAGCCACTTTTAAATGGCACACGGCATTGTTGTCAAGCATGACTTAAATATGGTGTCTATGACTGGAATACTAATTTCAGTGTCGTAATGACATTTTCAACATAACAAGTAAGGGAGTGCAACTCACAGCTAGTTACATCCCATGCATTCCGATGATAACGACTATAATCTAATATTGTGTTCTGTTACTCTCGGATTGAATATCAGTAACGCAATGCTTCGAATCCACAAACATTTTAATGTAGTCAAGCATCTACTCCGTGCGTCAAGTCAAGTTGCTAATAGGATTCTGGAGTACAGTTTATATTGCCGTGGCGTTATTGATAAAAAAAAACTTCTGGCACAATTACGTAAGCAGTTTTAATATTGTATTTATTATGTTTAGACAAAATGTTACTTACCCTGCATTGTAATCAATCTGCCAGCACTTTTGCATTGTGTATATGCACAATAACACACCTTACTAAGATGAGGAAGCTGAGGTTTAACATATGCCCAACAGTATCTGTATCGTTGTTTCTCTCTCCCACAAGGGAACATTGAGGTTAATTCACAAATGCCCTACTGTATCGTTATTTCTGTCTCCCACAAGTGTGCGTTGAGGTTAATTCACAAATGCCCAACTGTATCGTTATTTCTGACTCCCACAAGGGAACATTGAGGTTAATTCACAAATGCCCAACTGTATCGTTCTGACTCCCACAAGGGAACATTGAGGTTAATTCACAAATGCCCAACTGTATCGTTCTGACTCCCACAAGGGAACATTGAGGTTATTTACAAATGCCCAACTGTATCGTTCTGATTCCCACAAGGGAACATTGAGGTTAATTCACAAATGCCCAACTGTATCGTTCTGACTCCCACAAGGGAACACTGAGGTTAATTCACAAATGCCCAACTGTATCGTTCTGATTCCCACAAGGGAACATTGAGGTTAATTCACAAATGCCCAGATGTGTATCCTTACGGAATACGCTAATATTGATTTTCCAATTGTTGTGTTACTTCTGTATCCAACAGTGTACGTTCAGATTGATTTGTAAATGCTCAACTTATCGTTATCTTTGTCGGCAGGAGGACGCTGGTGTGGTGGCTAGTTCTCGGTATCCTCGCTGGTGTCGTCGCCGTTGTCTACGTCACGAGTGTTTCGTCCTTCCACGCAATCATCGACCGTACCAACTCTAGCTATGATTTCGTAATTGGTAGGTATTGTAGCTGTCCCGCCTGTCCTTAAGAGTGTTTTCCTTCCAATAAGTAGAAAATATATCCAGAAAGTACCGAGATATTAATCAAAATCAGGCAGAATAGTACCAGGTGTTACAGAAGTTTAAGCGTTTTCTGTTACATCGGCGATATTCGTCATGTAAATATTGGTCGATATAAGTTATCTTAGGTTATGGAATGTTGGATATAAGTATGCTCTGCTACATTCTGTATCCAATATTAGTCTAAAAATATTATTTCTGGTCGTTTTATTTTAATTTTCGTTATCTATGAGTCTATTACCTTTGTATTCTAGCTAAACTCTTTTTACGATGCATGTGTTGTTGTTACCGTTTGCAACTTAATACATTAACAAGTTATGGTATCATGTACTTAAAGAAAAAACAGTAGCTTTAGATATCTTATCTACACATGGCACTATAGGACATTATTTGTGATGTTACCGAGTACAGATCCTAATCATCTGGCTAGACAAGAAATGGATACAAGCTCGAAAATAAATCCGGGTGTCCGTTTTATATATGGTTCAATGATAGCAAGTAACTGCCGTGACCGTCTGCTCCATAACGGAGACAGGGGATTCCCATCTTCTCACGATGATAGCCAGTGGCTAGTAGGATTAATCAGGTGGGGGATGGGGGATTGTCGTGGAATCAGGTAACCACAACATCTTCAGTAAAAAAAAAAGGTATTTGACTCAAAAAGTAAATAATAGCTTCAACAATATACAAGTTCTTATCATTAACAACGTGAGTATTATATAAGATGTTGTGGTTTAAAACATCGGCGGTACTAAAGTAGGTAAATAAAATCAATTATATCCTTTTGTTTAGTGATGGGTTTTCTACAGAATAATACATCTCCAAAAGAATTTTACAAGTTTTAAACGGATCTATGTCACATACATTTATCTTGTTAATACTCTTAAAGTAAAGTAGCATTTCCTCACAAGTATCGTTAAAAGTCTAGCAGATAAAGCTGAAGATGAAATTTCTTTTTATTTGTTCATTTACAAAATGTATTTGTTGTACAACATAAATGGTTTGTGCACTGCCGATAAATCGAGCTTATATATATGTACAGTGCATATCTAAACATTCATCATTAAAAGATGAAAGCATTGCTATTAAATCAACAGAAACAGGAGGACTGTTCCCGGAATGTAGATAATATCACGTTCTCAAAATGAAGGCCGAGGTAGCTACAAAAATGATAAAAACCCTATAGATCAATACAGTAGGTAAGTTCAAAAACCGAACAAATGACAAATGAAACCCCTTCGTGCACAAATTCCTGTTACCATGTGCGGTGCTGGTCATATGGTCAGAATCAACACCGGTATGAGTATGTATCTACGGATTCAAGACGTAGAAAATGTGGCTTTAGTCAAGATAATACCAGGAAATTGAACTGTCTTAGTCGACATTGTAACCTTTGTTTCTATCTTACTGTCACGTAAATGATCTGTTCGTTTCTACAATATTCTGAAATATTTAGCTAGTTGCGTACTAGAGACCTTTGTCTCTGAGGTTTATTTTAGTTGAAAAATAACAGATATCACCGCGAGTGCGTTAGAATTATGAGAATACATGATCACAACTAATATGCTGAAAAATTGTAGAAACGACACATAAGTCGATAGTTCCTTTAAACGCTAATATAGACTTAGATACAATAGAGCGAAATAATAAAGTAAACTGTATGACACAGCTGTTTTTCCTACTAGGACTCGTACAGAAAGCTACCCCCCCCCCCCCAAATTAAATCAAGGAGGCGAATGAGAAAAATCTGCAGTGGGAGAAAGAAATGTTGTCTAAATAAAGAAAGGGAGGTGCATTAAACCCATAAATTCAATAAATTCTGTTATTTCCCTGTTTCTAATATTTTAAGAGGAATGTAAAGTACATATGTTTATTCTAAACAATGCCACTATTAGAATGATTTGAAACATGGCATGCATGTTAGGGCAAATCTCGGGCACTAAAAGTCCACCAGTAGTGTAAATCACCTGCAGTCTCTCAGGAAGTATCTCATGAAAATCTAAAGCCGTCGAAAGAAACGCCTGCATCTTAATGGGGAGGTGAATTAGGTCATTCAATAATATACGTTATTTTTGTCCTGTTATTTCTTTATAGCTTGATTTCGCTTAAACCTTTAGCCTTTTAAAGTGTCCCTTGTTCAAAAGAAAAGAAATGAATGATAAGGAGTCTGAATACAAGAATTCTTACCCCAAGTAAAATATTGCTTGTGGAAGCGGAATAGACAATATTTAACTCTACGAAGCCTCTGTTATAATGTTATCATTTTAGTATTTATTGTATAAATGCATAAGCAAATAATTGTTCGAGACACTTCTGAGTTTATCCACTTCCCCAAGTGATATTTGAAAACATTTTCTTGTATGTTTTAGTGGGTGCCGGAACAGCAGGGTCAGTTTTAGCCAGTCGTCTAACAGAAGACAGCAATGTTAAGGTTCTACTTCTGGAGGCTGGAGGTGAGGAAACACGTGACCCAAATCTGCACGTGCCGCTACTGTCTTCTCTACAGAAGAACCCGGATTTTGAGTGGATGTATTACACAGTGCCACAGAAATTTGCTGCTATGGGGATGAACGACAGGGTGAATATCATTGTACATGTGATGTAAAATATGATGAAATATCGACGTTTTCACAATCAATATCATAAATGTATGAAAAAAATATTGCAGATTTCAACGATTATATCAGATATGTTTTTAACAACATTTGAAAAATGTTATCACAATTCTTGTTGGTTGATGTAAGACAGTAAATCTTACATTAGAATTAATTTCTGCTGACATCTCAGGAAAGATGTACCTGATAAATGTTATATTATTGAAGCGATTGCGCGGAAGAGTTATTTCCCCTTTTTAATATCGTTTGTCGGCGTTTAGATAAGGTAGCAGAGGAAATGCTTAAAAGAAGAAAAATAAGATCTTTCAACTATTTTCCATTTTCTACATATATTTTCATAATGAAAAAATACATCAATGCAGTCAAACGGTTAAGTTTTAACAGCATATTCCAAACTTGAGTTAAGGAAACTCTTGATCGAAAATTTTATTCAGTTCCTTTTCCCCCTTAATTCTTTGTCAATCAGAAAGTTGTGATGTTTGACAAGATAAAGTAAGAAATAAAAATAAACCAAAATTAAGTCAGTAACTGATCACTCTTAACACTACATTTAAGTACATATCATTAACAGGTGTTTTTGAAGCTTATCTATAGAGACGCAGTGTCTCATTTCGCTGCCAGACGAGTGTCCGACTTACTGAAATGTGTCAATATAACGATGTTCGATGAAGTGTAACGACAGTTTTAGGGCATTATATATAGTGAATCACGTATCAAGTTCAAGAAAAAATATTTAGCTATTGATTCAGACTGCTCTCAGCCTCGAACAGTTTGCTTGGTCGGTGACCATCACAAGTTTCCAGAAAATGGATCGTTTCGCTAGGCCCACCGAGTTACAAATCTTGTTTAGTACAACAAACCTTGTTTAGCATAAGTATATTGACAGACGAGGCTGGTACTTGTGACCAGGAATCATTAGTTTAAATTTCAATTAAAAAAAACCCAGCTAATATAGGATACATGTGAAAAGAATAACTATAATGCTGAGAGCGTTGAACAGTATCCAGTAGATTTGAACGGGAATTACAAGACGATGTATCCAGTGAGGAGGAAAATAACATCGTCATTTAATCGAACTCTTTTCGGCGGAGTCCGATCCATTGCTTTCCTTACACTATACCAGAGACGTATATATCACGTGATATATACGTCTCTGACTATACCGAATTGGAAATGAAGTTCCGTCAAAGTGTTCTGAACATAAATATTAATATTTCGTTGGACCTTTCCACATGTCTCTCCTCTTCCTGACAAACTGAATCCACAATTTGCATAAATCTGGCCTATTTAATGGGAAGGCACGCATCGGCACCCCATCCGTGTTAGTGCGGTGCGACGATTTACCCAAATATACCCAAATACAGTCAAATAAAGCCAAATCGTACCAAAATCTTACCCAAATTCGTTCCCGCTTCATTTTTGTCCGTTTTGCCCGTTGGCCTATATGGTATTACGGAATTTATATGAATTGCCTTAGTAAATGGAAGCTAAAATTAGACAGATAGTCTATTTGATCATGTGTATATCGTTTATTAATATATTACCAGGAACGTATATATAACAGATATACGTCCCTGATAATACAGAGCCCGTTACGGCACGTTCCTGTAAATCGATTTGGCTTTGAGTATATTTGGGTAGATTGTGGGTATATTTGGGTAAGATTTGGCTTAATTTGGGTATATTGGGGTATATTTGGGTAAGATTTGGCTTTATTTGGGTATATTTGTGAAAGATTTGGGTATATTTGGGTAAATCGTCGCGCCCGTGTTAGTGTTAGGACGGTGTCAGGAATTTTCGTACCGAAGAATTTTCGTCCGAGGGCAATTTTCGTAGCACTATGGATATATATAGATAGGGTGTCAATAACCAATTATAACACCCTCCGTTGTGTTGATATTAAAATTTGATGTTTATACAATGATTTGACTGGTTTTTACCCAAGTACTGGTACGCGTCTGTTGTTAGCCGACAGGCGTGTCGTCTCACCATTGTTTTTTCAAGCCACAGAGGCGCTAATTACCTAGCCTGGCACAGGTGTGATTATGAGTTTAGATGACATCTCTACACATAACCTATTCTATAGTACTATGATAATAGTAGGAAATTCTCCGGGACGGAAATTCTTTGGTACGAAAATTCCTAGGACCGTTAGGACAACCGTACGCTGCACACCGCTTCCCTCCTCGATAGGAAGCCATTTTAGCGGATTTAAGAGCTAATTCACCGACTCCTCGTTCACTACCATAAATATTGCGAAGATGTGAAGTACTTTCACGTAAATAAACAAAGAAATTACCCCGGAAAATCCCAAAATAGATCACAATCACATGTAGCACAGTAATGCCAATAGGTCAACGCCTCTCCAGGGGCGGATTTAGAGGGGGGCGTGGGGGGCGCACGCCCCCCCTAAAATTGGCAGAGTAAGGGTGAGTTACGAAGTATACTGGATGGTCTTGGTCGTATGTTATGACTATCACTGTTCTAAACAGCTATAGATGACTTAAGTTGGGCTAATTTTCAAGTATACAGTAACTTTATTATAGTTGATCACATAACGACAGAAAGAGTTAAGTAAGTTAATTATAACGCCCCCCCTAACTTAAATTCCTGTATCCGCCCCTGCCTCTCAGCCAAAGGTGTGTTTTTCAGAAAAGTCGCAATTTCTCAGTAACGGAAATTCCACGGCATTCGCGTTTTCGGTAATGTGTATTTCATGTGCAGAACTATCTTTGAAGATCAATATAGCTGACCTCTCGGGGTACACTTTAATATTGACCGCCATATGCGTACTAATTAATAGAGTGAGTCGTATCTAATTCAGAAGAGTCCCTTATCGCGAAAAATACTGTCGTATATATATCACACACAGGTGTTTATCTGGTCGCGCTGATACCTGGTCAGGTGGTTGTCTGACCACGTGACTGTCTGGTCACGGACAGTGTGTTACTGGATAATGTTCCTGTCGATCGAGTTCGGTGATGACCGATATACATGATGTATCATGATAAGTATTACTGTCCATTGTATGTCACTCACCTCTTGTACTCACAAAAATCTATTTAACCCGTAACAATAGTGAACTACAACATCTTGATATATTTACAGTGAAAATCAATGCAAGTATACAAGTACACTCTCCTTGTATACGTAGATAGATGGGACACCGCTGTAGATACTGAGAGATTGAATGCGTGTAAATATAGAAATTACAAGTACGCAGTTTACTCATGCAAAACCTTTACGTACACACGCACTGAGGAATCTTGTTTTAGACGAAAACCATCATATGCATCTTCTTTTGATAAGAATTCTCTCCTGAAAGTTTTCACGTTTATAGGGCGATAAATCTCGTTATGACGTCATTTGGAATGGATCGGAATTCAAGCTCTTAGAGATAATTGATATAGTTTTTCTAGTTTCTATGTTTAAAAGCTGTACATGATACTCAAAGTTGATAAGGAAGAGGGTAGATGGATATGGGCTGATGATGGTAGATCTCAAACTAGTGTAGCCATAATATAGTATATGTGATCTCAACATACGTAGGTTATCTAATTCATTCTGGCAGGCAATTCTTACTCCACGGCAATTCAGATATAGATGAGAATCATAGTAAAACATTGTGAACTGTCCTGCTCAAGAAAACGGAGTGTACCCTCAGATACATAGACAATTAAACAGCTCAAAACACCGGGGTATATAATGTTTATAACAATAGTAATACTCTTTGTAACGTAAAATATAGAGATATATTGTTGTGAAACGGAGTGGACTGTCTTACTCAAAACAGCGGGGTATATAATGTTTATGACAATTGTAATACTCATTGTAACGTAAAATATAGAGATATATTGTTGTGAAACGGAGTGGACTGTCCTGCTCAAAACAGCGGGTTATATAATGTTTATGACCATTGTGATACTCATTGTAACGTAAAATATAGAGATATATTGTTGTGAAACGGAGTGGACTGTCCTGCTCAAAACACCGGGGTACATAATCATAATAAACAGACAATTGTCCTAGTTAAAATCAATTCAGATATAGAGGTGTATAATTGTTAAACGCTGTGAATTGTCTTGCTCGATACACCGGGTATATAATGATTGACAATTGTACTCTTTATCAAGTAAACATATACTTGATACAAGCTCAAGATACTGGGATTTGTTTTATGATATATAGTTGGCATTTTATTTTTTCTTTTACTATAAATCTGTGTTCTTCCTAATGTCTCCCTTAACACTGTCTGATTTTTGGCCTTAACTTGAGCGTTTGCCACTGTAAGGAAGGCTTTGGGTTTTGTCCCAAGGCCGAGACATACTTTTAAAAAGGTACTTTGTAGTTTCTACTGCCAGCCCAGTGGTCAGCATTGTGGTAGAGTAACGACTGTTTAACAGTATGATGTGAACGGATAGGGTGTCCAGCTAGAAACCTGAGACAGTATGTACCAGTAAACAACTTTCAATACAAAGATATGACATAGATATATGGAGTAGAGCTAAATGTTAAATTAATCTACATCACACAGCTGTTTCGTCCTATGTCTATCTATTCAAATGATGATTCTGTGTTTACCAACTTCGTGTCGTGTGGGCTCTATTCCTTATTGATATTGAATTGAGTGATTTCACCCAAAGTGCTATTAAGTACCAAACAAAATAACGAAGCACATTATATGTACATAATGGTTGTATGTGCATAATTGTTGTATTATTGTTTTCTTTTAGACCCGATTTTACTGCTACGATTGTTTACCTATGTATAAACATTCTTCTTGATCTTCTTCTGTTGTTTTCTATCATGTTTGTCAATGCTTCATTGCTTGCTGTGAATATATTTGATTTTCTAGGAATCTTGTCACGGACTGTTTTGACATTGATTCTGATTTGCGGTCCTGCAATATCTGTTATATAGACTGTTGGTATTTCTTTGTGTGTAATGTTTTAATTTCTGTGTT